ACCAAGTGGACGTGAGAGAAGCCTTTCGGGTCATATACCACACGCCGACACAATACTCCAACGGCCTGCGCAATCGGGTGTTAGCCACAGCAGAGGCAGTGTCAGTCAGGTTAGCAAAACCCTGTCTATGCTGTCAAAGGCGCTGGTACCAGCAATCTGTCTCACTTGGCTGACTGCACGCGAAAACCCCATGCCTACTAAGGCCCCATCATCTGAAAACACACAAAACGAAGCCACGGAGAAAAGTCAAGCGCAAGCTACGCGGCTGACCTACAGACCTCAACCCGCTGACAGTCAGAATATCCCTCTGTCTTCTCTACGCATCGCATCCAACGTCCTACCCGCGCAGGCGCCAGCATTCAGCAGACGAGGGAAAACCCGGATGCTTAATCACCCTCACCCACTAACCCCCTTCCTCCCCCCCAACCTGACGATTATATAAACGCTGCAATTAACTGATCAGTTTTATCCCCCATGCCATATACCGGCCTGAGGATGAATGACCGAAAACAATTGTATGCCAATACGGCTTTTTAATCGTAAAATGGGAATTTTCGCAGAATTTCTGACTTATTAGCTGGCATCACCCAGGCTCCACTGCCAGTTTGCTGCTACAGCTGGTAGACGAACTGGCGTTCTCCTAACAGAACGTCCAGCGCTCTACTCATTTACTCGTATTTGTCCTGTCCTTAAGCGGTTCAGGCTTCACCCGGTGGTATGTCCACTCCACATAACCAGGATAGCGCATGGGATGAAGGGTCGGCGGGTCATGGTCCGGCAACCAGGCTGGAGGGGGGGAGGGGCGTGGACGGATCTAAATAAAATCATGCAGGGAAGAGGCCGGGGGCAGGGCAGAGCCATTGGGATGCTACCGGACCCAGTAGTGTATGTGGAGGCGCTGCCAGCGGGCGGGGGAAGGCATTGAGACTGGCTCTTTCCGTTGTGAGAAAGCCTGGCCATCGACAAACCAGGGGGAGGGGGGAGGCGACGGAGCGACTGCTACCAATCTTCATCCACCTGAACAACCTCGTTTACGTATGCTTCTGGCAGCATCCTAACTGATGTCAGAACACCGCCTATGCCCACTCTGAATGCCCAGAAGCGGACCTGTTGTGGCCCTGTTCCAGACGCCTGTAGCAAAGTTGCCCCCTCCGCCGCGAGTAATTGCACGTGTGCACCAGTAACAGTCTGGCTGTCGGCCAATCACGGCTGTGCAGACGCACCAATCACCTTCAAGGCCGATTCAAAAATTCTCAGGCGGCGCCGGATGTGCACCCATGTCCGTCAGCCAACTTCTCCGACTGGTTCTGTACAAAATACAACATCCTCCGGACTGGCGCCCGATTTTTCCTTTTCGCATTCGGGACCGGGTCCAAAGTTTGTAGTGGCTAGAGTCTCCTCTAAGCTGCAGCCACAGGCCAGCAGAACGGCTGTGTGAAAAACAAAATGCCTTAACCCACTGCTCCCACTTATCCTGAAATAAACCGTACCGAGATTAAGAAGTACTCAAAAGAAACGCGTATGCTATGAATCTATATCATGTCAGACAGAAGGCTCTGATGTATGCTGACTTACTTTTACACGCCGTCCAACAATTCGCCCAACTTCGGCTTCGGCTATCTTCAGGACCTCGTTACTCGTTTGGTTTCCATCCAGTCCGAGAGAAAAGTTGTATTCTGTAGCAGATAGCATGTCGTAAAAGATTGATGGATAATGGGTGGATAATAGAAAAACATGCATGACGCGTTATGGTGGTTTCCCATGGGGTTTTTACATTCTTCAATTTGTGCACGCAAAGCGTATTGAAAAATGCTATCTTATTGTGAAATAATTACTTTCTTATTGCAGCAATTTAAAAATATTATATATCCTGAGCTGATTCTACAGCGAACCCCAGAGAGGAGCTCAACTTAAGCTAGGCTTACAAATAACAACTATTCAGTGTTCCGACAGAATGTATACTGTCCAGATCACAGCTTTGTAAAGGTACTCCAGAATGTTTCAGATATTTCATCGAAAATAACTGGCAAAAGCTGAACGAAGGACATTATATTTTTTTAAATTATGCCTGTACAACACTGTTCTCACAGGGGCCAAATGCGTGCAAAAGTTTTTGGTATACGTTAATTTTCACTAGAAAAGGAGCATAACATGTCCATTTTTTCTTAAAAGGAAGGCTACAGCCATCGTGAAATACAACGTTACCATTCAAAAAGCAGTACCGAATAAAAAAACGCAAAACGACCACTTACTTTCAACGGTTATACAGAGCATCTGCAGGAGCTGCATAAGAGCGGCACGAGACTTCTGTATGAACTCATTCGTGACTTCTTCGGCTAAAACGAAAGGATGCTAACTTAGAATAGTTTGGTAAGCGTGTACATAATAGGTAGGTCCCGTAGGATTTAGATAAGAGCAACGGCATTCAAGAGAACGTTGATTGGCAGAAAGAAACCTGAACCGACCGAAGGCCAACCAATAGGAAGCCAGAGGGTAAAAGCCGTAAGTGAAAGACGTGAAAAGGACCACTGCAGCGCAGATGTAATGTAATGGAAATTACTATTTAACATCCTCTTCCTGAACTTATCCTCCTGTATCTGCTTGTCCTGGTAGATAACGAGGAGCAAACGGTTGACGAAGGTGCCGAGGACGAGGCCTGATTGGCCAATTCCGACTC